CTCATAGAATGGCAGATGTCCTAAACAGCACTCTGGCCTCAGAATCAGCCCTAAAGGCATTTGGATCTTGCTGAAAAGCCCATGAGAGTATTTCAGGCATGGAAAGCCAAGACACTCTGGCAAAAGGATCTCTGTGTGTGAGATCCTAGTGGAAAGAACAGGTCTTCAAAGAAGGAGGTACCTTTCTCTGAAGGGAGGAGAGAACCTCCACTTTGACTATGACCTTGTCTAAACAAGATAAGAGTCGGAGAACTCAGAGGGCTTCCATAGCCTTGGAAACTCATGACTGGAGCATAGGGAGATTACTGATGCCATAAACAGGAGTGTCAATTTGTAAAGTCAACAACAGGAGTCACTGTGCACTTACTCCTCATGTAGGATCTCTGTCTTTAATGTGCTGTACATTGAGGCTTAATGCTATAACGAGTACTCAAACAGTATATTTCACTTTGTGTTTCTATGGGGGTGCAAACTGTTGAAATATTTACTTAATGCATACTAACCTGATCTTCTGTAAAAAAAAAAAAAAGAAATTATCAATTCCCAACTTGACTCTCACTGGGATTAAACATGACAATAGGTCTGATCTGATTTCATCATCATTTAAAAAAATCATCTATTATTTTTCACTTTGTGTTTCTGTGTGGGAGCAAACTGTTGAAATCCTTACTTAATGTATACTAACCTGATCTTCTGTATATTAAGATAATTGAAAATGAATCTTGATGTGAATGGAAGGGGAGAGGGAGTGGGAAAGGGGGGAGGGTTGCGGGTGGGAGGGACGGTATGGGGGGGAAGCCATTGTAATCCATAAGATTTATATTCATTAAATAAAAGTTAAAAAAAAAAAACGGACCACACTAAAGCAACTCTTATCTTCCTGTTAGTTCTCCGGTGTACTTCCTGGTCACTCTCTTTGATTGATCACCCTTTGAATTCCCAACCCCTTTCCTTTGTTAAAATGGCAAAAAGGTACTCAAGTCCAATTACTTTTTAAAGTTTTACTTCTTTGTTATGAGCTGCTGTGCATACAAACACTAACAAAATTTCTGGACATTTTTCTGATAATCCGTCTTTTATTCAATTAATTCATAGGCCCCCAATCACAGAGTGTAAGAGAGTGGAGAAAGCTTTTTCTCCCTGCTGTATAAACTTACTCATTCAATCATCCTAGCAACTCTACGAGGAAGGTGCTATTATCTTAATTTTACACAGGAAGAAACAAACACTCAAAGAGGTTTAGTGACCTGCCCAAGGTTGTGCAGCTTGTACACTGTGAAGCTGGTGAAATAAAAATTGCCTATAATTCTCATTCCAGAGCCCGTACTCTTAGACTCTGTTTAATAAACACTGGTTTTTATATTAGCTCACAATAAAGGGCAGTCATTGTTCTCATGGTTTAAAAATCCATACTTCTCTGTTTTGAAAAGATATTCCAAAGAAGATATTTTCTACTTTTTAATTTAAAAATATTTGAAGCTGGGTAAAGCACACTTTATTCAAAGATGATGCCCCAGGGAAAACATGGACAAGACTGCGTGTTCAGAAGGCTAACATAAAGTCTGCAAACCTCAGAATCTCTATTAAACCCTTTGTTAGAAGATTAAGTTCCTGCATAAAATACTAACTAGAGCATATACTTTAGCCCCAACCACACTCATTTTTAAAAATTCCAATTTAAAAAAAATTAGTTTTTATTCCAAAAAAAAAAAATCGTACTTATATAACAGAAATGGTGGATCGTGTGGCATAAATACTGGCTGTGACATCACAATAATTGTTATAACATTGAAATTAAATATGATATCAAAGGGAGCACATAAACAAGTCTAGTACCTGCTAACACTAACCGATAGAATAAATAAAGGGAGAGTGATCCAACATGGGAAGCGAGATACTAAGCAGACTCATAGAATTGCAGATGTCCTAAACAGCACTCTGGCCTCAGAATCAGCCATAAAGGCACTCGGATCTGGCTGAAAAGCCCATGAGAGTATTTCAGGCATGGAAAGCCAAGACACTCTGGCAAAAAGATCTCTGTGAGTGAGATCCCAGTGGAAAGAACAGGTCTTCAAAGAAGGAGGGACCTTTCTCTGAAGGGAGGAGAGAACTTCCACTTTGACTATGACCTTGTCTAAACAAGATAATAGTCGGAGAACTCAGAGGGCTTCCATAGCCTTGGAAACTCATGACTGGAGCATAGGGAGATTACTGATGCCATAAACAGGAGTGTCAATTTGTAAAGTCAACAACAGGAGTCACTGTGCACTTACTCCTCATGTAGGATCTCTGTCTTTAATGTGCTGTACATTGAGGCTTAATGCTATAACGAGTACTCAAACAGTATATTTCACTTTGTGTTTCTATGGGGGTGCAAACTGTTGAAATATTTACTTAATGCATACTAACCTGATCTTCTGTAAAAAAAAAAAAAAGAAATTATCAATTCCCAACTTGACTCTCACTGGGATTAAACATGACAATAGGTCTGATCTGATTTCATCATCATTTAAAAAAAATCATCTATTATTTTTCACTTTGTGTTTCTGTGTGGGAGCAAACTGTTGAAATCCTTACTTAATGTATACTAACCTGATCTTCTGTATATTAAGATAATCGAAAATGAATCTTGATGTGAATGGAAGGGGAGAGGGAGTGGGAAAGGGGGGAGGGTTGCGGGTGGGAGGGACGGTATGGGGGGGAAGCCATTGTAATCCATAAGTCGTACTTTGGAAATTTATATTCTTAAATAAAAAAATAAAGATGTAACTCAGTCATAAAAAAGAAATTAAATATGATATCACAATCAGATTTATGTCATCAAAAAGTTGGCATATGACATCGCAATTTAATTATTGTGATGAATTATTGAAGTCACAATCAATTATGACAATACTGCTTTATGACACCTGAGTTTATTATTACATCACAATGGTAGATTTATGATTTCACAATGGTTTTTATGATATAATTGGTTATGACACTTACAATGCCATATAACTTCACAGCGATTTTTATATCACCCTACACTTGGTTTATGACATCAAAATGGCTGTCATATGGATTTATGTCACAATGTAGTTTATAGTTTTATGTCACAATATTTATGATATCACAGGAGTTGCTTATTTTTTTTTTTTTGGAGTTGCTTATGACATCCCACTTCTTTATGACAACACAAGGTTTTTTGGACATAACACTGGTAGTTTGGGACCAGTGCTGCAGTGCAGCAAGTTATTCCACTTCCTGCAGTTCTGGCATCCCATATGGGCACTGGTTTGAGTCTTGGATGCTCCAGTTCCAATCCAGCTCCCTGCTATTGTGCAAGGAGAATCAGTGGATAATGGCTGAAGTCCTTGGGCCCCTGCAACCACGTGAGAGACCTGAAAGCATTTCCTGGCTTCTGACTTTAGCCTGGCATAGACCCAGTTTTTGTGGCCATTTGGGGAGAGAACCAGTAGATGGAGGATTTCTCTTTCTCTGTCTCTCTAACTCTGCCTTTCAAATAAATAAGTAAATGAATAAAACTTTTCAAGTGGTAGGTTATGACACACAATTTTATTTTGTCATCACAATTGATTTTGACCTCTCAATGGTTTTTGTGATGTCACAATTCATTATAACATCAGAATGGCTGTTTTAGGACAGCACAATGGAGTTCTGTATCACAGTTGATCATGATATCAGAATGACTGATTTATGTTGACACAATACTGTAATTCCATAATTTATTATGACAGCACAATGGTTAACTTATGACATAATTATGGTACTTGCATGGCATCAGAGTATTGGTATAGGACATGATTTTTTCATATAATTATTGATTTTGAATAATAATAGTTGTTTGTGAATTCACAATCAATTATGACATTATAGTTGTGGTTTATGATCTCACAGAGGTTTTTATGAGTTCACAATTGATTATGACATCACATAACAATGCTGTTTTATCCCATCCTCATAGATTATGACATCACAAGGCTTTTTACCAGATCACAATTATTACATGATGATATAGGTCTATAAAACACAGTGTCTTATCATATCATCACAATATTATTTAAAATGCATTATGGCAACACAATAATTGGTTTATAACATCAAAATGTGTGTTAATGACATCACAATATTGGAATATGAATATCACTAGGGCTTTTATGATCTCATGATGATTATAACTTCACAGCAGTAGCTTATACCATCAGAGTCATCACAATGGTCATTTATGGCATCACAACAATGAGTTATGGCATCGCAATTAAATGTCACAATTGTGAATTTATGACACTGCAATGAATTTATGACTTGTTAATTGATTTTGAAATCATAGCAGCTGGTTTAGGACATCAAAATGATTGGTTTATGGTGACAAAATATTAATTTATGAGGTAACAATGGAACAATGGTTTTTAAGATACCACAACTAGTATGATGTCACAATGTGGTTCATGACATTACGTTTCATTATGACTTTATAATGATAGATTTACAATGTCACAATGTTTTTGTAAATTCAGAATGAATTTTGACATCAGAATGATAAGTTTATGATGGTGGTTTATCATATCCCTGTTGATTACAACATCACATGGATTTTATGATATCACAATATTTATGACTTTACAAGTAATTTATGATATCACCATTGAATTTCTTAATTTTTAAAATGTTGTTTAAGGAATATAACATCTTGCATTTAATATATACAGATTTGGGAATGTGATGCTTCTTTCCTCCCAACATCCCTCCCACCCAAACTTTCACATTTCTTCCTCCTCCCTTTTCCTTTCCCATTCTTATTTTTAGAGATTAATTTTAAGTTAATTTTTACATTCATAAGATTAGCCCTCCACTAAGTAGAGAGTTAAATGATTACTATGAAGAATAAAAGAAGTAAAGAACAAAAACAAATGAGATAAAAAACATTGTTCCACAACAGTCAAGGCAAGGGCTCTTCAAAATCAATACATCTCAAAGTTTCAGTTTCACTCCTATAGATTACATCTGAAGTACTCTATAAGTTACCACAGATCGAGAGAGACAATATGGCATGTGTCCTTTTCTGACTGGCTTATTTCGTAAGTAAAATGGTTTCCATTTCTATCTATTTGGCTGCAAACAACAAGTTTTCATTTCTATTACCACAGTGCATTATTCCATAGGGTATATACCATAATTTTTTTAATCTGCAGTTGATGGGGATAGACATAACTATTCAGAATTATGGTTTCACTTCCCATGGATAAATATCCAGGGCTGAGATGGCTGGGTCATATGGTAGCACTATATTCAGCTTTCTGAGATATCTCCATACTGTAGTCCACAGTGGCTTTAACACTTTACATTCCTACCAATAGTGGATTAAGGTACCCTTCTCCCCACATCCTTGCCAGCATTTGTTGCTTGTTGATTTCTGTATGTAAGCCATTCTAACAGAGGTGAGGTGAAACCTCATTGTGCTTTTGATTCACATTTCCCTGAAGCCTAGTGATACTGAGCATTTTTCCGTGTCTATAGGACATTTAAATTTCCTCTCTTGAAAAATAGATGTTCAGGTCCTTTGCCATTTTCTTATTTGGATTTTTTTGTAGTTGTAGAGTTTCTCGTGCTCTTTATAGAATATGGAAGTTAATCCTTTGTCAGTTGCATTGTTTATAAATATTTTCTCATATTCTGTTGGTTACCTCTTCTAGAAGACTTCCAAGAAATATTTCCCTATGTCAGTGTTTTGTATGGCTTCCCCAATGTTCTCTATTTAGGACTCTGGTTCATTTTGAGTGGATTTTTTGCATACGGTATAAGGCAGCAGTCTTACTTCATACTTCTCCATGTAGAGAACCAATTTTCCCAGCAGCATTTTTTCAAGAGACTGTCTTGGCTCCAGAAGTTGATTTTTGCTCCTTTGTCAAAGATAAGTTGATTGTAGATGTGTATCTTTTGTTTACTGTGGTTTTAATTATGCTCCTGTGTTATACAAGGCTATTTTTAAGGCAGTACAGGTTCTTTTGATTATAACTGCCCTGTAGTATGTCTTAGGTTTGGCTTCCCTATATATAGAATCATGTCATCAGTAATAGGGATAGCTTGACTTCTTCTTTCCATATTTGTATACCTTTGATTTCTTTTATTCCTGCCTGATGTCTCTAGCTAAAATTTCCAGGAAGATATTTCATATCAATCATTAGACTAGGCTTCCTTTTCAGGTTCCAGATCTTAATTGGAATACCTCAAATTTTCCTCATCCAGGAGGTTGCATGCTGTGCGTTTGTATAAATACTTAGATTATGTTGAGGAATGTTCCTTTTATACCCAATTTGCATAAGGTTTTCATCATCAAAGAGTGTGTTTTTTAATTTTTTTTGACAGAGTGGACAGTGAGAGAGAGACAGAGAGAAAGGTCTTCCTTTTCCATTGGTTCACCCTCCAATAGCCGCTGCGGCTGGTGCGCTGCAGCCAGCGTACCACGCTGATCCGATGGCAGGAGCCAGGTACTTATCCTGGTCTCCCATGGGGTGCAGGGCCCAAGGACTTGGGCCATCCTCCACTGCACTCCCAGGCCACAGAAGAGAGCTGGACTGGAAGAGGGGCAGCCAGGAAAGAATCTGGTGCCCCGACTGGGACTAGAACCCGGTGTGCTGGTGTGGAAGGCAGAGGATTAGCCTATTGAGCCGCGGCACCAGCCCAAATGAGTGTTTAATTTTGTGAAAAGCTTTTGCTACATCTATTGACATAATCATGCAGGTTTTGATCTTCAGTTTGCTAATGTGGCTTATCACATTTATTGATTTCCAGATGTTGAAGCATCCTGCATACTAGGGATAAATCTCACTTGGTTTAGGTGAATGATCTTTCTTATGTGCTGTTGGATTCATTCTGCCAGTATTTTGTTGAGGATTTTCACCAGGGATATTGGTCTATAGTTGTCCTTCTCTGTCATGTCTTTTTTCTGGCTCAGGTATTAAGGTGATGTAAGCTTCATTGAAGCGGTTTGAGAGGATGCCCCCTTTTGAATAGCTTGAGAATTGGGATAAGTTCTTCTTTAAATGTCTGGTAGAATTCAGCAGTGAAGCTGTTGGGACCTGGGATTTTCATTGTTAAAGGGTCTTTATTACTCAGTAAACCACATTTGGGTTATTGGTCTGTTTAGATGTTCCTTGTCTTCACGATTCAGATGTGCCAAGGAATTTATCCATTTCTTCTAGGTTTCCTGATTTGTTCACATACAGTTCTTTATAAGAATTCCTGATGATTCTTTTTATTCGTGTGGTATCTGTACATTTTCTTTTGCTCCTCTGATTGTGCTGACTTGGGTCAATGGCTTATTTAAAAAAAAAAACCCAGCTCTTCATTTCATTGACCTTTTGTATTTTTTTTGTTTCAATTTTATTTTTTCCTTAATTTTAATTATTTCTTTCCTTCTACTAATTCAGAATTTGGGTCAAGTTTTTTTTTTTTTCTCAAGGTCCTTGAGATGCATTGACAACTCACTTATTTGGTGACTTTCCAGTTTTTTGATGTATGCATTGATCGTTATAAACTTCCCTCTTAACACTGCTTTTGCTGAATCACATAAGCTTTGACATGAGGTACTGTCATCTTCATTTGTTTCCAGAATTTTTTTTTTATTTCTGATTTCTTTTTTCACCCACTGTTCATTTAGGAGTGTATTGTTCACAAAGTTCCAAGATGGCAGAGTAGGGAGGGAGCTTACTGCTCAAGTACAGGAGATATAGTTAAAAAGAAGTGGAGATAGTGTAGTCTCGGGAAGACTTGGGGAAAAATAACAGAGAAAACTCTACTAAAATTAATGAGATATGGTAAACATACACATAAGGTGTGGGCACACACAGCTTGGGACTCCAACAGCTGAGAGCCTACAAACCAGTGCTAGAAAGTGAGATGAGAGCAGACTGCAGCAGCCCAAGTCACTGGCAAAAAAGTGGCAGGAAAAGCCTAGAGGGAATTAGGCTTGAAGCCCCGTGGGGGAAAGTGTACCAGCCAAACAAGAGGAAAAAACAAAAAGGACAGGACAGACACATTTCTCTCTCTCCAATCACTTCACAAAGGTGTACTCTTGACTAGCTGATAGAGTGGGTGCCATTTTGGACATATGTAACAGATGTGCAAGCTGGTGCTGTGCCTGGCAATCAGCTGGGCAGAGACTCCTAACTCTGGTGGGGAGAAATAACAGGGGGCTAGGAGCTTGTGACTATGTGAAGCTTCTGAGCCAGGACTATGAAAAAAACTGAGTGTGTGTGGGAGAACTCGTGGTGTGGCTGGGATTTTGAGCAGTATCAGTGGGAGATGCCACTAGCTTAGGGGCTCCTGGTACCTGGTGAGAGACATTGCTGGGGAATCAACTTACACTGAAGACAGCACAGATCCATTGTGTGGTCCTTGGAACAGAGCTGATGAATATTATACCCACTGGGGCTAGCACTCAGGCACTGTTCCCCTTTGAGGAGAAGAGCTCAGCTGAGCAGATTATACTTCCCTTCTAATTGAAAACAAAAGAGAGAGAAGATTTACCACACCAAACCTGGGTTTGTCACCATAGGCATACCCTTACCCTGGAGAAATGAACAGAGCTTGCTGGCCAGAAGACAAAGCACAGCAAAGTACACAGTCAAACAAAAAGCAAGAAATAGGAATTAGAATACTAAAAAACACCATTGGGAATCTACAAGATACTAAAAAATATTCAATTTCTAAGAGTTCCTGAAGGCATGGAGAGAGAGAAACCATTAGAAGGCATTTTTTAGGGAAATACTAACAGAAAACTTTGAAGGTTTGGAGAAAGAAAGGGACATCCAAGTACTAGAAGCACACAGAACTCCCAATAGCCATGACCAGAAAAGAGCCTCACCATGACACATTGTAAACAAATTCCACATAGTGAAATATAAAGAGAAGATTCTAAAATGTGCAGGAGAAACTCCAGATTACATTCAGAGGATCTCCAGTTAGACTGAAGTAGACTTTTTTTTTTAAAAAACCTTTTAATTAATAAATATAAATTTCCAAAGTACATAGGTTTTCAAAGTTCATAGCTCTTCAGAATTTTCTAGGCCCTAATGTTATCATATTAATTGAAAGGAAATCTTACCCTTGTGAATATTTACAGAACAAAAAATAAAACTATCTTAGATTTTTTTGAAACAGTCCAAAATGTAGTTCTATGTGCCCATATTTTTCCTATAAATTTAATAACTGAAACTATGGAATAATACACAGTGGTATACTTTTTTCCTTTGTTTTTGTTTTTTTTTTTTAACTTTTATTTAATAAATAAAAATGTCCAAATTACAACTTTTGTACTATAGTGGCTTTCTCCCCATAACCTCCCTCCCAGCCAAAACCATCCCATCTCCCACTTCCTCTCCCATCCCATTCTTCATCAAGATTCATTTTTAATTATCTCTTTATACAGAAGATCAACTTAGTATATACTAAGTAAAGATTTCAACAGACTGCACCCAAACAGACATACAAAGAATAATATTTGAGTAGTAGTCTTACCATTAATTCACATAGTACAACACATTAAGGACAGAGAACCTACATGGAATAAGTGTACAGTAACTCCTGTTACTGATTTAACAATTGACACTCTTATATATGACATCAGTAATCACCGAAGGCTCTTGTCATGAGCTGCCAAGGCTATGGAAGCCTCTTGAGTTCACAAACTCTGATTTTATTTACACACGGTCATAATCAAAGTGGAAGTTCTTTCCTCCCTTTAGAGAAAGGTACCTCCCCTCTTTGATGGACCATATTTTCCTCTGGGATCTCACAGAGATCTTTCATTTAGGTCATTTATTTTTGCCACAGTGTCTTGGTTTCCCATTGCCTGAGATACTCTCATGGGCTTTTTGCTGGTTCTTTATGCCTTAAGGGCTGATTCTGAGGCCAGAGTGCTGTTTACAGCATCTGCCATTTTATGAGTCTGTGTGTATCCTGCTTGCCAAGTTGGATTGTTCTCTCCTTTATAATTTTATCAGTATTAGCAGACTCTAGTCTTCTTTATGTGATGCCTTTGACATTTAATCCTATCTTTATGATCAATTATGAAATTAAACTGATCACTTTGACTAGTAAGATGGCATTGGTACATGCCACCTTACTGAAGTGGATTTGGAATCCCATGGCACATTTCTAGCTCTACCACTAGGGTAGAGCTACCTAAGAATAATTGTGTGTTAATTAAAGAGTTCACCCAGTGTTGTTAAGTAGAACAACAACAACAACAACAACAAAGGAATAAAATAATAAGTTGTTCCTTGATAATCAGGACAAAGGCTGATCAAGTCATTGTTTCTCATAGTGTCCATTTCACTTCAACAGCTTTCCTTTTAGGTGCTCAGTTATTGTCACAGATCAGGGAGAACATATTGTATTTGTCCCTTTGTGACTGCCGTATTTCACTCAGCATGATGTTTTCCAGATTCCTCCATTTTGTTGCAAATGGCCAGATTTCTTTTTTTTCTTACTGCTGTGTAGTATTCTATAGAGTACATATCCCATTTTCAAACTTATGAGATACAACAAAAGCAGTGTTAAGAGGAAAATTTATAGCAGTAGGTGCCTACATCAAGAAATGGGAAAGGCACCAAATAGATGAGCTTTCAATTCACCTCAAGGATCTAGAAAAACTACATCAACCCAAACACAAAATGAGTTTGAGAAGAGAAATAATTCAAAAGTGAATCCAAAAAAATACAAAAGATCAGCAAAATGAAGAGCTGGTTTTTTGAAAACATAAACAAAATTGACACACCATTGGCCCAACTAATTAACAAAAGGAGAGAGAAGACCCGAAATCAATACAATCTGATATGAAAAAGGGAATGTAACAACAGACACCACAGAAATAAAAAGAGTCATCAGAAATTACTACAAAGAATTGTATGCCAACAAACTGGGAAATCTACCAGAAATGGATAGATTCCCAGACAAATAAAACATACCTAAATTGAACCATGAAGACATAGAAAACCTAAACAGACCCATAACTGAGGCAGAAATTGAATCAGTAATAAAGGTCCTTCCAAGAAAGAAAAGCCCAGGACCGGGTGGCTGCACAGCTGAATTCTACCATACATTTGAAGAAAAACTAATTCCAGTTCTTCTCAAAATATTCAAAACATGTGAAAGAGTGTGAATCCTCCCAAATTCTTCCTCTGAAGCCAGCATCACCTTAATTCCTAAACCTGGAAAAGATGCAACAGAAAAGAGAATTCCAGACCACTTTCTCCGATGAACATAGGTGCTGAAATCCTCAATAAAATTCTGTCCAATAGAATTCAACAACACATCAGAAAGATCATCCCCCCAGACCAAGTGGGATTTATCCCTGGTATGCAGGGTTGGTTCAACATTTGCAAATCTATCAATGCGATACACCACATTAACAAACTGCAGGAGAAAACCCATATGATTATCTCAATAGATGCAGAGAAAGCACTTGCTAAAATACAACACCCTTTTATGATGAAAACTCATAGCAAATTTGGTATAGAAGGAATAATCCTCAACACAATCAAGGCAATTTATGACAAACCCACGGGCAGCATCAAAATGAATGGGAAAAGTTGGAAGCATTCCCACTGAGATCCGGTAACAGACAAGGAGGTCCATTTTCAACATGGCTATTCAATATAATACTGGAAGTTTTAGCCAGAGCCAAGAAAAAGAAATCAAGAGGATACAAATTTGGAAGGAAGAAGTCAAACTAGCCCTATTTGCAGATGACATAGTTCTATACATAGGGGATCCAAAAGACTCCACCAGAAGGCTATTGTAATTTTTAGAAGAGCATGGTAAAGTAGCAGGATATAAAGTCAATACCAAAAAGTCAATAGGCTCTGTATACACAGATCATGCCATAGCTGAGAAGAACTTCTAAGATAAATCCATTCACAATAGCTACATACAGAATCTATCTCTCTGCTGATGGCCTGGGAAAACAATGGCAGATGGCCCAAGTGCTTGGGTTTCTGCACAAGCATGGGGGACCTGGAGAAAGCATCTGGCTCCCGTCTTCATATCAGCCTGACTCTGGCTCCTTATGTCCATTTGGGGAGTAACCCAGCAGATGGAGATTACTCCCTCCCCCTTTCTGTCTCTCTCTGTCTCTCTCTCTCTCTCTCTGCCTCTGCTTCTCAGTAATTCCTACTTTAAAAAAAATAAATCTTTGGGAAAAAAGAAATATAAAATATTCCTAACACATCTATGTTTCCCAGATGTAGCAAGGTAGAAATAAGCAAAGAATATTTTCAAATTTCTTTTGGAAACAGCTTTACATTGATGATACAAGTTGACCCTACCAGATCTTTAAATGTGAATTAAGTATAAGCCTCACTTTCATAAACAGATGTATATATCCTTAATATTTGTATAATAAATTAAATCACATATAAAATATAAAAATATAATTAATAGCAAGTGAAATGCAAGAAAAAATGTGAGAGGTGGTTAACATTTTTAAACAATCTATTGAAATTTTCTAGGTAAGTAAAAAATTCAAGAAAAAAATCACATGACCATTTAGATTAAATGTTGAAAAGTGTTTGAAAAATCAGCATGCAATTTAAAAAAAAACTGATAGCAGTATATTTAAAAAGAAGGGGCTTCCTTATTCTGATCAGGATTGTTTAAAAAGGATCTTACAACAAACAACAGAATACATACAGGATCATTGACAGCTTTTTCCCTGCCTGGAAGTAAGTCTTGTCCAGGCCACCTCCACTATCTTCAACTTCTTATTGGAGCAGTAGTGGGGGAAGGGGAGAGCAAAAAAAAAAAAAATGGTGTAAAGATTTCTAAGCAATAAAATGTCAATATATTGGAGATATTCAGAGAGAAGCAACACAATCTAAAAACAAATACAACTGATAATGAATTTAACCGGATTACTGGAAAGATCAATATTTTTAAAATCCACTAGATATACCATGAACCAGCAAAAAACAATAGAAAATACTAAGGGTCAATAGGCAGAGCAGAAAACAAATACTGACAGGAGAAAAGGGAATAAAAGGATTGAATCATGCGATGTCTTTCAGCATTCTTCAAATCAATATTAAAAAGTAACACAAAAGACCCAACATATATTGTATATGTCCAATGGAATGCTATTCACTTCTACTATTTCTGACAACATGGATAAGCCTTGAGAATATTATGTAACATGAAACAAGCCAGGCACAGAAAGACAAAACTGCATGATCTCACTCATTAAATGGTGTCTGAAACAATCTTGTAGACATAGAGAACAGAATAATGGTCCCCAGAGGCTGGGATTGGGATGGGGTGGAGGGAAGTTGGTTAATGTACAAAAGTAATTTGGAGGGGAGGAATGCATTCTGGTGTTTCACTGAACACTTGGATGACTGTAGTGAGCCTTCAGAAATGCATGGAGAATGTGTATTATGAAAACAAATGTAGATTTAGATTTCAAAATACTTTTGCATGAAAATCAACTTACCTTTTAAATTACATTTTCCACAACTTTGTTGAAAATAATGTGCTAATTTTCAATATGAAGAAAATGAAGCCCAGAGGCCGACGCACAGAACTGTGACTCACTGAAGCAGTTACTGCACCGAGAGCTCCAGCAGGGACCCATCAGGGAGGACAGGGCCACAGGAGGGACCCGGCGGGTGCAGGAGCAGAGGGAGAGGCCTCCCGCCTGGGGAGGTGGAGTCCGACCTGCAGCCAGGCCTCGCCTCCTGCTCTCTCACCCAGCACAACCTGAAGTCAGGGGCCCATTGCCATGGAAGATGTTGATGGGCTGCGGACTTTGTGAGGTTGTGTGCGCTCACGGCCATTCACGCTGTCCACTCAGGCACCACGACATCCACGTCACGTCATCACGCGGGGTCCTGACGTCACAGTCATCTTACAGTTCTGGGCAGGAGCGAAGTGCTAGG